AGAGGCCAGGGTTTCCAGCAAATGACTCAGCCTTGAACTTCTTGGACAATTCGTCCGGGATTTTTCCTGTGAGGGTATTGCCGGAGACGTTGAAGCTTGTTAAAGACGATATGCTAATATCCGGTAGCTCGCCGGAGAATTGATTGTTCTGGAGCTGAAGCTCGATGAGCGTGACGGCTTTGGAGATGGACGATGGGATTTTACCAGTCAAGGCGTTGCCATCAACCCAGAACTTTTTCAGGTGGTCCATGTTGGCGAAGTAGTCGTCGGGGATGTCACCGGAGAATTTGTTGTTGGAGAGGTAGATGGATTTGAGGCTGTCGAGGAGGGAGAATGCGGGGATGGGTCCGGAGAGGGCGTTGTTGTCTAGAGAAATGGAACGGAGGGCGGTGAGGGGTCGGAGGGGTTCGACGTTGATGGAGGCGCCAGAGAGTTTGAGGCCAGCGAGGCGGAGGCCGGTGATGGAGTTCTTGTCACAGATGACACCCGGCCACAGGCTTTTGGGGTTGCAGGGAGAAGAGGCCGGAGACCAGGCGGCGAGAGGGTCGGGGTCCGGGACGACAAAGGAAGACTTGAATTGGATTAGGCTTTGTGCATCCTCCGCCGGCGAGTCGGAAATGGAGAAGGGGAGGAGGAGGAAGAGGAGGAGAATGGTGCCGGAGACGTTGGATGTTTGCATTCTTTGTTTGAGCGCATGGAGTTTTTATGATGATTTTCTCGGTTTACTTTGATCTTTTTCTTTGGTTTTGGTCTCTGTGTTTTCTTTTAAAGTCTCTTTCTTTTGATTCTTGTTTTGCGCCGATCTTTTTCTTTTTTTCTTTTTTCATTTTCTCATCAAGGATTTTTTTGGGGAAGAGGGTTTAGTTTACCTTTTGTCTCGTTACTAATTTTTTTTTGGTTTGGGAGGGAGAGGCCCGAAAGGGAAGGGAGAAGCTAAGAATAGAAAGAAGTAAATGGATAGGAGGAAAGGGTTGACCTGGTCAATACAAGAAACAACGGCTGACTATTACGCAGAATCGGATCCTCCCATTCGCTAATATTACATATAATTTTCATGTTGATTATTTGTTTAGACAACTTTGATCCAATCGAAATTAATTAACGTCAAAAAATTTCATGAATTCTATTTTCCTATTTTATTCTTTTGGAAAGAAGAATACAGCTATGCATTAGATTTTCACAAGTAATGATGATGCTTTTCGCTCGGATGTAGAAAAGATACAAGTATACTGTTGAAATGCGCAAATGCATCATCATTACTTGTGAAAATTCTAATGAATAAAAAACAGCTAAACTCCGGGCTCTGGTTACATAATCATAAATCATAAATAAATCCATGAGCACTGTTCTTAACACTTCAGCTCGCTTAAGATGTGGAATTTTGAGCTGTTACAATGCTTGATGTAAACTAAGCACAATATATGCACTCGGTTGTCACCACAATGTGTAGTATATGAAGACCATATATATTTCATTAAAAAAACGGAATATATTTTATGCTCTTCAACCATCAACAGGATTAATCATGATGATCTCAAGACGACATGGTTACAGATTATTTTAGTCCTTATTGGCTTATTGCATAAAATGGTGCTTCAGAATTTTCTCCTATGATACACCCTATATCTTGTAGAAAACCTCAAAAAAAATTCAGCCTCAGCACCAAATTGAATTTCAAAACAATCACCATTACCTGAAACACAGCCTTCGAACTAAAAAAACTAGGGACATTATGCTTTTCACTTGATACAGGACCATAAAATATCTCATGCCGATTCTCAGCTACAAGGCTCCTGTCATTTATATGAACTGATAAAAATCCAAGTCAATAAGAAACTGGATATGAATTACTCAGCAGAAAAGAAAATGTACCATATATATATTATGCATGTGAAGTTTGATTTTTCCACATTTTAAGATGTTGATCTCCGCTTCACCACCAAATCATCAGCAGAGTAATAATCTGATATAAGCCGGTACATGTAGGATGGATTATGCCCTCCTCTGCGAAAAGAATTGAAGAGCATTAGATACACAGTGGGGGGAAAATGCAGCAATATATACGATACTGTAAATGCTTTACAAACACGTTACCAAAATAATGATAAAGATGCATGATAAGATAGTTACAAGAGATTCATCACATTTGAAAACATATGATATTGATATCACACAGCTATTTGTTCATTTTCCAAAAGAGATATATATCAATTTTAAACACTACAATTGAAGTTATGAAAATAGAATAAGAAACGACTTAGAAATCCATAAGAGATTCACAACCGGTATTAAAAATGAACTAACTAGATATCTCACCTGTCAGTAATGAAAAGGCTGACAAGCTTTGGTGGAACATAATCAAATGCGGGGTTAACAATATGAAGAAGAGGAGAACCACCCATAGTACCAAAATCCATACAATCTGAAAATTCTCCGAAATCCAGCAGCTCCGACGGTGATTTCAGATCATTCAGCAGAACTTCTGGATTATGTGGATACAAAGGGCATAACTGCCATATTATGGACAATTATTAAAAAAAATCAAAACTACAGGACATAATTCAGCAATATATAACATCAGAATAAACTGAAAAGTGAAAAGACATACAAATAAAATATGTGGCAAGCAAAAAATGATATAAGTTCTTCCAGCAATTGTGAGAAGCAAGGGTACTGAATTTAGAAAGGACTTTTCGATACTTTCCATTGGTTATATCTCCTTTTCAGCATGGCTGTGAATCTGTGATAACTAACCTTGTGACTACCAGCAAGAACAACAAAAGGTACAGCATGCCTTTGAGCGGCGAGCGCGACCATATTAATACCAACGGGTGCTATGACTCCACCATTAGCCATGATCGCATGGGCTCCAACAATGACCTACAAATAAAAATTTCCAAATCAGAACTGAGAAAATTTATGCAGCAAAAGAAAATGTTTCGACTTACCATATTCACTCTAGAAATCATCGCAAAAACTGCAGAATCAGGAATAATAGTGGTCTGTAAACCTTTTCCAACCAGCTCTTTCGCAAGAACATGCCCTTGATACCTGACATACACAATTGGCACATCATGATATGAAATGTACAGAAGTTAAAGATGAATACAAACACGCAAGGTGAAAAAAATCTAGCTCATATCAATAATAAATAGAAATATTGAGCAGACCTTGGGGCACCCTCCGCAACAAATACCCGAAAAGATCGTTTCTTGTCTTTCGCTGCACATAGGAACTCCTTGACTGTTCTGGAACGGCCCAACGTTAATATCATCTCGCTGGGAGGGACAATGAAATCTAGTCATAAGTTTGTACAGATATGAAACCGCGATATGGATAACTCATATGTGAATAACTACGGATACAAGGGTATATAATGTATTGTATCATATTTAAGGACACTTAACAAGTATGAAGAATGTACTTTAGTGGGGACATTAAGCTTAAACAAAGCGAACTATGTCAATGGCTAAACCATAGATAAAATACTTTATATGAATATAACAAAAACAAAAAAATATTAATCCAGACCTCACATGCATGCTCCCTAACAAAAAAGATGAAGAGCATCATGCTTCTTAACAACAAAATAAAGAGTGTGATTTAATGTGGGCAAGTGGCTTAAACAGAGTGAACTGTTTGTGAAAGAGCCATAAAGAATACTTTTGATGAATATGCTCAACTGCTTGTTCTGAAATCTGTTCATGGCAAGTATCAATGTCTTGAATCAATTCATTGATAGCCTCGATAACATCACCCTTTAACTTCTTGCTTCTCGAACTCTTCTCGGCTGCTGTATAAGGAAAGGAAAAACATATGATATCCAAAGTCATTCGAATGTACTTGTGCGGTTTACATTCTTTTTTTGGATAAATTTCACAAAAACTCTCAATACTTTGGGGCATTTTCTCACGAAATCCCCCATACTTTGTTTTTCCCACTAAACACCAAATTTTTTTTGCATATAACTCCCAAAGTGACGAAAATGCCCCTAGTCCAAACCATAGTTGCATGGAACCCAGTTCGTTCCGGATCATGGAACAGGAATGGGAGTGTTGTAGGGCACATAATTGGAATCGGGTATGACGGGGATTAGGCTTATATGGTACGCTAGGGAATGTGGTACGCTTCAGGTACTGTTTTCAAATATAGGAATCTGAGTATCTTAATGTACAACCTTCTACAATAGTCGAATTAAAGGATCAGTAATGGTAAAAGAACTCTCTAAGTTGCAACTAAGGTACGATTTTAGTTTGGTTGTTTTTTCTGTCAAAATATTAACTAATTTAAATTCAAAATCGGGCCACGGGTACACGAGCCAATTTGCTAGTGTATTGCATTTAGAGACAGTTGTATCTGTGTCGTGGCTTGCTATAGTGTCACACATTCCCAATATCTATGGTCCAAACAAATCATTTATTTATCCTTTTAATTAATTCTTTTCGCCAAAAAAAACCGCACATTAGGTGATTTGCAAACGTAGGGGGGGGGGGGGAGGGGAAGAGGAAGAGAGAAAGGGTTTATTTGCAAATTGCCTAACTTGAGGGTTTGTTTTGCAAAAAAAAATAATAAAAAGAACGAAATAGTCCCCCACACCACCCCTCCTCTTTTGGCTCTAAGGGGTAGTTTTTTGTCTTAGGGGGTTATTTGGGACACATTTTTGGTGTTTAGTGGAAAAACAAAGCATTGGTGGTTTCGTGGGAAACACCCCAACATATTGGGGGTTTTGTGAAATTTACTCTTATTGATTTGTTTTGCAATTTGAATCATGGAAACTTGCGCCCAATCTGGGGCCTGCAGTAAACTTTAAAAACCTTCAGAAAAAAGCTAAAAATTAACTAACAGTCAGGGATTAAAGAGAGAGGAGACATGAATTTACATTTGGTCCTTCCTTCAGAATCACCTCCAGATGAAGAAGCACAAGGAGCAGCAGCTGAATCAGGTATATCTTCAAGAAGGGTTTGTAAAGAGGGTGCCCGAAGAGTGCTTCTGGCAGAAGCAGCAAGAGATGCAGCTGACAAAGCTGGATGATCTTCATGTTCAGCTTCATAGTCACCATCACTGTCCGCAGTCAAGCTGAGTCCTCCAATTGCAGTTGCAGTGGACGATAGATCTTCCTCTCTGATGATGTGCAAAACACGCCTGACAATGTTACCAACAGCAAGCTCTGCATTCCCCAGTTTCATGTAATCTTTCACAATTCACATATTAAGAAAGCCTAGAATAACTTACTTATTCCTATCATTCTGTCATTATAAATCAACATGAGCCACTCCATAACATTCCAAATATCAAGTTATCCATGACCTAATGATGGGCATAAAAGTGCCTATCAATCTACATAATCAACCAACATGAACCATTCCATAACATCCCAAACATAAAGTTATCTGTGACCTAATTGAAGGGCATATAAGTGTCAAGTGCATATTATGATCATAGTGCATAGTTGAAACTGAAAGTTCATTATGTTTAAACTTTAAGGGCCATAAAATGATAAAAGTGTCTGCTATGAATTATGTCCACTCAAAAAAATAAGTTGCTACTTGCTAGATATATAAGCAGTACCCAACCCATAAGTAATGTGCTTTTCTATAAGTAATGCCATCCACTGCCTCCGATTACAGAACAGAACTGGAAGCACAGTGATGGAAAAGGTTAGCGAATGATTCATAAAACATAGATGCTATGGTAATTAAGTGATGTGCTTGTCTATAAGTAATGCCATCCATTGCAGAGATATATGTAGTGAACCCAATGCAAAATAATGGGCGCACTCCAAAATTCTCAATTTTCATGTGCTCCATGATATTTGTTCATTTTTATTCGTTACAAGCCAAGATGATTAAGGTTTTTCATTCAAAATTCACAATTTTCATGTGCTCCACGATATTTGTTCATTTTTATTCGTCACAAGCCAAGATGAATAAGGTTTTCATTCAAAATTCACAATTTTCATGGGTTATAACCCACAATTTCTTTTCCCATTTTCTTCTGTTTCAATCAAAAGGCATTTAATCGGTGTACTTCAAAATTTGTAATTTTAAAGTTATACAACCCACATGATTTTCGTTCATTTTTGTTTGTTTCAACCCAATGGCAATTAAATTTTCTTTCTTCAAAATTCATGGCTTTCATGGGCTATATTACTCGATTTGTGTTCATTTTTGTTCGTTTCAAAACTCACGATTCTTACATATTATGACCAATAATTTTGTTCATTTTTAGCTTTTTTGGCAATTACTTAACGTGCTTTAAATTTCGTAATTTTCATGGGCTAAAACTTACGATTTGTCCATTTTTGTTTGTTTTCAAATTCAAAGTTTTCATGGTCTGTAACCAACAATACTATTCATTTTCATATGTTTTCAACCCAGTGGCAATTAATAGGCGTACTTCAATATACACAAATTGGATACTTCAAAATTCTCAATTTTTATAGCTATAAACCACGATTTTTTCCCATTTTCATTTGCTTCAAGTCAATGACAATTAAGTTTTCTTTCTTCAAATTTCATGATTTTCATGGGCTCTAACTCATATATTTTTTCACATTTTCAACTTTTCAATCCAATGGTAAATTAATTAGCCTACTTCAAAAATCGCAATTTTCACGACTTATAACCCACAATTTTGTCCAATTTCATTTGTTTCAATCCAAAGGCAAATAATTAGCGCACTTCAAAATTCGCTATTTACATTACCTATAAATCATGATTTTTTTCGTAATTTCATTTGTTTCGAGCCAATGACAATTAAGTTATTTTCTTCAAAATTCACAATTTTAGGTTATATAACCCATGATTTTTGTTCGTTTTTATCTATTTCAACCCAAGGACAATTAATTGGCGTACTCTTAAATTTGCAATTTTCATGGACAATAACCCACAAATATTCATTTTTGTTTATTTCCACCTAATGATAATTAAATTTTCTTTCTTTAAAATTCACAAATTCCATGGACATTACATAATTTTTGTCCATTTTCATCTGTTTTGACCAATTAATTGGCAAACTTTAAATTTTGCATTTTTTGTTCACTTTCATCTCTTTCTACCCTAAGATAAATATTTTAGTACTTAAAAATTTTTAATTTTCATTGACTATAAACCATGATCTTTTTTGTCCATTTATGTTTTTTCAAACCAATGTTGCAAATACCGTATTGTTTACCCAGTATTGCAAATAAATACCCTCCGAAGTAAATGGTTTCACTTAAATACCTAAATTTTCTGAAAGTTGCACTTTAGTATTCTCAATTATGCAAACGTGAGAATTTCCCCTCGAGATTTCACATACGACACCCACATGCTATTTATAGGACATTCTAATCCTTATTTTTTGTTATATCTATTGTTAAACATATCAAAATTAAACCTATCCTAATCCTATTATAAAATAGGATTTTGATAGCCTTAACATATCAAAAATTAAACCTATCTTAATTCTATCAAAATTTTAATAAATAGTAAGGTTAGAATGATAAAAAATTAGCATAGGTCACATGAGAATTTTTAGAGGTAAAATTCTCACGATTGCATAACTAAAGGTACTAAAGTGCAACTTTTAGAAGCTTTAGGGTATTTAAATAAACTTATTTATAATAGAGAGTATTTATTTGCAAATTGGGTAAACAATAGGGTATTTAAGTGTACTTTCTCTTTCCTTATTCAAAAATTATGATTTTCATGGGATATACCTCACAATTTTTGTCTATTTTTATATGTTTCGACTCCATGATAATTAATTGTCGTACTTTAAAATTCACAATTTTCACGGCTCATGACCCATATTTTTTTGCACTTTCATCTGTTTCAACCCAAAGGTAAATTCTCGGCGTACTTCAAAATTCGTAATTTTTATGGACTATAACCCACGATTGTTGTCCATTTTTATTTGTTTTAAGCCAATAGCAATTAATTTTTTCTTCAAAATTCACAATTTTCATGGGTTAACCACAATATTTATCCATTTTCATTCGTTTTGATCCATTGGCAATTAAAAATTCATAATTTTCATGGATCATAACCTACAAGTTTGTACATTTTTCATATGTTTCCACCCAATAACAAATAACTGGAGAACTTCAAAATTCTCAATTTTATGGGCTATAAACCACAATATTTATCCATTTTCATTTCTTTAGAGCAACCAACTTAAGTTTTCTTTCTTCAAACAAAATTTAAGTTTTTCATGGGCCATAACACAAATTTTATCCATTTTTTTCTATTTCTATCTAATAGCAGTTAATTGACATACTTCTAGGGGTGTCCATTTGGGCCCAAGGCCTGGGCCCAGGTTTGGCCCGAAAACCCGGGCCAGACCTGATTTCGGACCCGGGTACAGACTGCCTCGTCGGCGCCCGGCCCGGCTCGGCCGTAAAAACGGTCGGGCTAGGTTCGTCGGGCCAGCCCGATCCGACAAAAACGATCACATAAGCCCGGTCCGGCAAAAACAGTTACATAAGTGATCGTTTTCGGCCACAACAGTCAAATTTCGAGCCCTATTTTGATCGTTTTGCCCCCAAAACGTCACGATAAAAAAATAAGGGTATTTCGGTCATTTGTCTATGGGGCTACCTCTATAAATAGAAGGGGTTTTCATTTGTTTTCCTCATCCAAAACTCATCTACTTCTCTCTAATACTCTCTTATACACTATTATACTCTCTAATACTCTCTAATAATCGTTTTAGCTCTCTAATTCTTTAATCAAATGGCTTCCGGATCTGATTATGAAGAGCAAAACTCAACTCCGGAAATGAGTCCTACTACAGCTACTCCTACTCCTATTGATGTCGATCCTGAATCCGGTGGCGACGATTCTACACCATGAGCTCCTAAAAGGCCAAGATCCGATGTGTGAAATTTTTTCAAAAAGATAGACGTCATCAGGGATGAACACGATAGACTTCTCACCCAGAAGGCTAAGTGTGCGTTGTGCGATCATATTTTCCAAGCTCATCATAAGAACGACACCAACCACCTCAAACGTCATTTAGAGAAACACAACAAAGGCCAGTCCTCTCAAGGTGATATCCGACAATCTATTCTCTCTCAATCTTCATCTTCTAGTAGTCTCGGTAGTTGGAATTATGACGCAGCCCGAGCCAAGAAATACGTCATCAGGTTTATCATTTTTAAAAATCTTCCTTTTAAATTAGTAGAAGATGATGAATTTGAAGATTTATTTACAGATGGTTTTTACCCCGCATTTAAAAAAAATTCTCATCAAACTTATCAACGTGATATTTTAAAATATTATCAGGAGGAACAAGAAAAAATAATTTCTTATTTTTAAAGTTTAAACCGTAATTTTTTTTTTAACTTCTGATATTTGAACATCTAAAGCACAAACTAGTTATTTATGTATTACAGCACACTGGATTGATAAAAATTAGCAAATATTTAAAAGAGTTATTTCCTCTATTGCATTTGAAGAATCACATACTGGTATTAATGTTGCACATTTTAATAATTGAAGAACTTTTAGAATTAAAAATTTCAGAAAGAATATTTTCTCTTTTACTAGATAATGCAAATAATAATAATGTAGCTATTAATTTTATCAAAATATATTTGTCATTGCCATGTAATGGTGATCTTTTTCATATTAGATGTATCTGTCATATTTTAAATTTAATTGTTTAAAATATATTTAGTAAAATTAAATCCATGATAGAAAATGTTAGGTCAGTAACTTATGCTCATAATGCTTCTGAACAAAGAATTAGAAGATGAAAATAATTCTGTAAAAAAAATATATAAAACTCAGACTAATTCCAAAAGATGTTGACCATAGGTGGAATTTTACCTATGTAATGTTAAGTGTAGCATTAGAAAATAAAAAAGTTATAAATGATTTTATTATTTTTTATACTTCTAATTCTAGCTCTGGTAGCATGTATGAAACAACTGAAGATGAATGAACAGTTATAAGTAATTTAAAAGAGATGTTACAAGTTTTTTATGATGCTACAATGTTATTATCTGGCTGTTGTAATTTAAAAGAGATGTTACAAGTTTTTTATGATGCTACAATGTTATTATCTGGCTGTTATTATCCAATCATTACTTTAGCTGTTATTATCTGGCTGTTATTATCCAATCATTACTTTAGCTGCTTTACAAATTTTAAATATTCAAAAAAAAAATATTGTATGGATGATTATTTTGGAAATATAATTTTTTAAATGGAAAGTAAATTTAATAAATATTTTAGGCTTATTCCTTTAATTTTTTGTTTTGGGGTTCTTATTGATCCGTGTTTGAAGGATATTAGCTTTAGAAGTTTGTTAAATTTTTTGTTTGGTTGACAGATTATATACAGTCACCACTCATCATAATACTATTAGAAATTATTTTTAAAGATTATATGATGAGTACACAGCTAAATATGGTGTAGCTACACATCAGTCTACAGCTTCGGCTTCTTCGAGCTTAAGTCGGGACAAAAGTGTAAGTTTTGATAGATATGCAATGGTAGCTGAGCTAACTGGTGGATCTGGACTTGGATCATCATTGAAGATTTTTAAAATTGATCAATATTTAACTGCATCTTTAGTTAAATATCAAAATAATAGTTTAAATATTTTACAATGGTGAAAAGTATATGAAACAGTTTCATATCCTATATTTTTCATCATGGTTCGTGACCTACTAACAGTGTAGGTTTCCACGGTAGCTTCGAAATCCGTCTTCAGCACAGTCGGATGTTTGATCGACGATCACAAGATATCGTTAGATCCGTATAATGTACAAGCGGTGATGTGCTTATAAGATTGGCAGAGATACGAGAAAAAAACGCAATGCATCGATCAGATGACTGATATTGAAGATAAAATTAAAGAGTTTGGACTAGCAGATAGATATAGAATAAACAATATTCATCAAATTATAATTTTTATTTCTTAGCTAAAAATTTGTAATAAGTTATTTTAGAAATAGTTACAAATGATAGTGATATAGGTGAGTAGGTGCCAACCTAGTTGGGATGTACTCATCTATTATGATGCGACGAATTTCAAAATAAATTTATAATTATAAATGATTTACTGATTATTAATAAAGAAGTTATTTTTATCATTTTAATTTTATTAATTTTTTGTATTTATAATTTATGTAATTTCAAGTGATTAATAATATCATTGTTTCTTATTAAAATTTTGTGTAATTTTTTGTTGAAATTTGAAAGGAAAAGAAAAACTTAAAAAATTTTGAAAAACAAAAAAAACGAGCCGACCCGGTGCCCGGCCCGAGCCCGGCTTTCCAACTAGGCCGGGCCGGGCCGGGCCATTTGGACACCCCTACATACTTCTAAATTCATAATTTTAAAGAGCTATAACCCATAATTTTTGTCCGTTTTGTTCATTTCGATCCAATGATAATTAAGTTATCTTTCTTCAAACTTCACAATTTTCATGGGCTATTACTTGCTTTTTGTCCATTTTCATTCGTTTTCAAAATTCATGAAATGTGCTATAAACAACAATTTTGTTCATTTTCATCAAATACCCAATTGTGAATAGTTAGAGTACTTTTAAGTATGTAAATTTTATGTGTTATAACCCACAATTTTTATTTATTTTAAAATTCACGATTTTCACGGGCTATAACCAACAATTTTGTTCTTCTCATCTGTTTTGATCAAATGACAATAAATAGCATCATTGTTTTAAATATCCACAATATATCTAATATATCGGCCGGAATATCTACCTGCCGCTAAATAATATGGTCATAATATGCTTTACCATTTTTTGACAAATTTCGAGCAATATATCCTCGACATGGCTGATATATCAACTGATATGTTGGCAGATATGTTCTTTTATATGGCTTGTCACAAAATATATATATTTTTAAAAATTTCCTCCAATGTCTTTTAGCAAATATTCCATCCTTATGAAGTTTTTTAGCAAATTCTACTAAACTATTCTCCCTAATTAAGTTTCTACAATTAGTTAGTAATCCTAAACATATATTATTTACATTTTTGTATACTTAGATTTCATTAAGTATGTTTAGATTAAATCTTAGGATATTATATTATATACGCACATCATTTGGTATGACACTACAATGTTTAGTACATATCCCGATGCTTCCCCTATATCCTCAATCCAATTTTGGCAATATTTTCATGATATCTGATATTTAAAACCTTGATAGGCGTACCTTAAAGTACGCAATTTTCATGGCTATAACCCGTATTTTTGTGTATTTTCATCTATTAACAAATATTACTAAACCAATAAAAAAGGAAATCTCCTCAAGATGTTTGTTGTGCATGTCGACAAGAAGTTAAAAAGGAGTAGAAGATCATTAGCTACGCAATAGTTTAACTATCTACATTAAAAATTTTGGTCTCTTTCATGAAGTGAATTGGAATAGATTTCCATCTTTTGACAAAATTCTCAATCGCTTTTCTTCCCATTCTTCTACTCAAGAGAATTTTGGAGTAGTTCTCCTATTTTGCATGAAATCAAATTCACGCCACCAGTGAGCAAGGTCATTAGGATTTTAGGCACTCCCATGATTGTTCATAGTTTCCTTTGCCAATAACTCGACAACAATAACAGGTACAAAGGCATTGACCAATTAATAACTGAATGTAAAGCTTGGTCAAATCCTTCATCAACAATGCTACATGGTCATTCCCAAATTCAGCAATTGACTGCTATATATAGAAATCACCAAGCCAAAACCAAGGACCAATATCATCAGAACTGCTTACTAGTTTCAGCTGCAAAAAATCTCTTCAAAGAATACTACTCCTAAGGCCATCATAAGCTAATACATGCCAGATCTTCTTGCAAGAGGTGGGGGGAAACATTAACTTAGATACCTCCAATGCCAACTTTAGTTCCACTAAGACCTCCGCAGCTCGCGGAGTTCTATAACACGGTAGCTCGTCTTTCATCGACGATCACTACTTATCATGTCGAATGTTTAGTGCGTAACTATATAACAATTGGCAGAGCCCCTTGAACATCTTCAAGGTAAATCACACGCAAACTACAATGATGAATCCGCTTGCTGTAATGCTTTAAAAAGCTAGCAATTGCAAGCTATCCAATTCCTCGTGGACTTGCATCAAAGAAACCCAAATTAAAACAGCAGTAAATTGAAACCAGCAAATTGAAAGCGCGTACCCACAGTATTAGCAGCGATGAGCAGCTCGCCGACGCCCTTGACGGCATCGATCAGCGCCGCCGCCTGGTTAGTGTGCGGCATCCGCTGATGCGACACCACCGATCGCAGCAGCTCCGCCGTCTGCCTCGCGCTCGCATGCGATCCCTCGATCTTACTGAACACAAAAATGATTCAAAATTGACCTAATCTGATCAAAATTCACCAAAATCGAGACGATTGGAGGAGCGTGTTAATACCGGCGCTTGAGCTTGAGTACGAAGTCGTTAACGAGGGCTTGGACGTCGGGCATGATCTCTGCGAGATTTGGGGATTTCGTTGGGTCTCGGGAAAAGAACTAGGGTTTTGGGAAAAGACGGGACCGGATGCGGACGGAAAGCGAGTGAATTCGATTCTGTTAAAATATTATTATGAGACCCAGAATTAATAACTTATTAGTTTTTAGTGCAAATCAGGATAAGGAGGAATATGTTAAAATAGTTTTATTTTGGAAGTTGGTTAATTAGCACTTACATGCTTCATATTTTTCTCTACTTCGCAATTATACACTCTCGCTTGTTTTCTGGTAGAACCTAATTATTCCTAGAAAAATAGGACGGATCCAGAAACTTTTGATCACTGGGGCGAGACCGCATATATAAGTTCCCCTTGGACCTTAAAAAGTTAAGCATGAGCTTTAAAATTGAGATATTTTGTTCAGTATATAAAAAAGTTATTTTTTATTTTTAATCTAAGAGAAAAACTATAAGTCATGAATATTTTATACTTGAATACTTTAGATAATAATGAAAATTGAGTGTACAATAG